TGGGATCAGTTGCAATGCATATATGTGAATGATAAAAGTAAATTGCACATTTGTCGAAGGAAATGTAAGGTGCTTCATGAAATGTTTTGTAAAAGATATGTTCATTAAATTTCAACATTTTCCTAATGTTCTTGTGCTTCTTTATACCAAAACAAAGGAAAGACATATTGTTTTGGTTATTTATAGCAAAGTATTGTATCATTTTAATGGTCCGGCCCACTTGACATCTACCGAGGCCGTATGTGGCCCACCATGTGAAATGAGTTTGACACCCCTGTTTTAGACGGTCACGCCAATGATGAAACTTGGGTTTGATTTTTGAGGCATCTTTTTCCAGATGTCAGTTAATCATTGCATATTTGCATTCAGGGGGTGTGGGTGTACCTTATGTTGTGGCCCGTGAGTGTAATTTTCCCATTTTCACTTTTCTTTCCTAACAGGTGGAAAAGGGATGGCTGCACGTCAGCAAAGTAAGGACATGATTCACACCAGAAGCCGAAGAGCCTTTTAACACAATTAATGTTTCTCTTACCCTTTGCTCCGCTTCTGCGCAGGATCTTTGGCTTCGTGGCGAGAAAAAGTGGCACCTCCATGGACAACGTGTGCCACCTGTTTGCTGAGCACGACCCAGAGCAGCCGGCCAGCGCCATCGTCAACTTTGTGTCCAAGGTGATGATCGGCTCGCTGAAGAGTAAGTAGGACGACCGCCTCCTGGAAAAACGAGGAACTATAAATGTGAGACGATGATGAGCGAGACATTCTACTGAACATGGACTCTCATGACTTCAGTTCCACACCCTTATATGTGATGTTTCACTATTAAACAGTAAGGGCATTAATAATGTCATTTCATTTACGAAATCATGGAGAAGTGTGTTAGAGTGGCGTGCGTGTATATAAATTGGTTTGATTGGATGTATAGTGTGCATATATGATCTATGCACCATAAAAAAAAGTTTTATTTTTTTAAACCGTACTTAATCATGTTCTGCATTATAAGTCTTCCGTTCTGTGTGTACGACAGCTGTCAACATGAAAAATGAAAAAGAGCGAGTGATTGTGTGTGTGAGATGAAAATTATTTTAAGTAAACCCTAATATATATTGTGTATTCCTCTACCCCATGACACAAGCTGGTTACAGTGTCCAATTATACCAAATTTATTGTCTTTTGGGTCGGGTTTTTTTTTTTTTCTTTTTATGAGGGCACGTCCCCATGCATGACTTTGTGGGACACTGAGCCAATTCAACATTTAAATAAAACATTTGAAAACAACACGATGAAATTATCTCACTGTAAAACAATATTGAACAAACCCAGTGAATTAAAAAAAAAAGTCTGTTTCAAGATCACCCCTACTTTGAAAATCAAGAGCTGCAAATATATACCGCTGTATTATCACCCTTTGTTAAGTGTCCATATTGCCATCACCGAATCTTATTCTTTGTTCTTTATTGTTCTCAAACTGCTGCTCATTTGAAACACACTGTGTGAGGACAACGCTGTTGCGTTCATCCATTGTTAAATCCTCATCTTTCTTTCCATTGCTGAAGTTATTAGAACGTTTGTAAAGAAAAACAATATTTATTTTTCTCAATCCCCCAGCGCCACCAAAAAAGAAAAAGAGAATTTTATTAAGGACCGGTTTTGTTATATGATGCGTTATTTCTCTTTCTCACGCTGGATTGCCTCGCCCCTGAAGTCCTCTAGTGCCCCCTAGGGGTGGCTATTATCCTCAGTAACAAAATGGGCTTCCACTTCTCTCGAGCTTTTCTGAGCGCTTGAACGCAGCCTACTCATTCAGATACGGATGGCGCACCATTTCTGTATCCAATAGCCTGCCATGAATTTTGTCCTAACCCTCCTCAAAGCTGATTCTTTAACATGAAGTTTGAGTAGCGGGTTTCCAAATATCGTCTTTATTTCTCTGAAACTGCCATGCCCTTGTTCAACTAAGAGAGAAAGAAATACTCTTTTTCGACTGCAAAATTGTCCAATAGTGGCTGGGGAAAAGCTGAAAAATATCATTATTTTGTGGGATGAATTTTCTTCTCGTTCCACGTCAAACAACCCGAAGTTATCTGAGAAGTATTTTTCTCTATTTTTCTCAATCTACTGCCTCTCTTCAGATCTTTAGCACCCCTTGCCGGCTGAAGGAGAACAGTCCATACCCTCGTTAAAATGAATTTCTGAAGGCACCTCACAAAAAAAAAAAAAAAAAATTCGTCAATTTTGCTACAAAACTGCTTTCTTTGTTCTTCTCATTCTGCTGCGCCTCCCCTTCTTCTGGTGCCCCCTAGGGGGGGATGTTCCCGCAAATTTTGAAAACTGTTGTTCTCAGTACAGCGCTGGAGGATATTTCACTATATTTCTTGTATCAGTGTCTGAAAAGAAGCCGTAATTTTAACGTTCATTCAGTCTGTTCCAGGACATGTATTTTGTGTACCGTGTGGTTGCTGTGAAAGACATAACCTGTATTTCCATTTTGCTTTCGCTTATATCACCACAGTGTGGCTCTGTATTTCCTATGTACAAAATGGTAAAAATGTCCTCATGTAAGTGGACCTCTGTGCTACAGTTTATTCTTATATGCAAAGGGAATTGTTTCGATGTGCTCTGTAAATAAAAACAATGAAACATTTGTATCAAATATTGTGCGTTGTTTTTAAGTTGCCAACAAACTCCCTTCATTCAATTTAAGCAGTCATTATCCAACTATCAAGATTGAATATTGTATGGAGAACTTGTCCTTATTCACAGAGGAAGGCCTCAGCTGAGATTCAAACCGAAGCTGCAAAAACATTTTTGTTGAATTTACTCCATTTTATTTTGTCAAGGGTGGTCCGATTGTCCAGTGCACAGCACGTTGACCTCACAGTGCAGCGGTACCGAATTCAATTCCAGCTCTGGCCTCGTGGTGTTGAGTTTGCATGTTCTCCCCGGGCCTGCATGGGTTTTCTCCGGGTACTCCGGTTTCCTCCCACTTTCCAAAAAACATGCATGCCAGGCTGATCGAACACTCTAAATTGTCCCTAGGTGTGAGTGTGAGCGAAAATGGTTGTTCGTCTGTGCGTGCCTTGCGATTGACTGGCAACCGGTTCAGGGTGTCCCCCGCCTACTGCCCGAAGACAGCTGAGATAGGCTCCAGCACCCCCCACGACCCTTGTAAGGATAAGCGGATCGGAAAATGGATAATTTTGTCAAGTGGTTGCCCGAAATAAAACCATCTGGAACCAGATATGTTATTTAAGTAGACTATGCATCTTATTTAAAAATGTATCTGGAAGCAGAGCATTTTATTTCGGGCATCCCCTTGTTGAAATAAAATGGAGTCAATTCAACACACCATTCTTTTCAGTGTAGAACCGTAAGGCAGAGGTGCTCACCATAAGTCAACTGCACTGCCACTGAATAAGTGTTGACTCAAAAAGAAGGCAACCTCGGTTGTTGCGGACAGAAACGCTGGAGAATTTTACCTGCAACACAAGCCTGGGCAGGTTGTCTTGATGGCAGTGGGAGAGAATATAAGAGGGAGGGAAAGTGTCTTCATCCTCCTCCACCTCTTCCTTACTGTCCATCTGCAGGTGGTGAAAGTTAAGAATTCCCGGGGTGGGCAGGAAGGAAGTGCAGGCCTGCAGGTGTGGCGACTGCAGCGGAACCGAAAGCTCGTCTTGCTCTGTTATTTGTAATACAAGAAGCTGGAAGGAGGAAAAAAAGCAATATTGTGAAGACTACACAAGGGCACAAAGGTTTGGATAACTTATGGGGGCCCGTGCAGCAATTTGCCATGATTTATGAATTTAGCAGCAGATTAATGACACAGGAGGGGTAATTGCAGAAAAAATACACAAGAGAGCAGACCAGATTGTATTTAGAAAGCATTAAATCTACCATGTACAGTAGAGGAGGCCTGTGGCAATAAACAGCAGTGGCCCAGGTTTTTTAGAGATATGAGAGCACATGTTTGGAAGCAGACCCCTTTACGCGCTTTTAATGAATGGGGCATCTATTTCCACGAAGGAGAACAAATGTTAAAGTGAAAGAGAGAGGGAGGGCGACGGAAAAATGTGTTCTGGGATGCCGAAATAACTAGTGCCCTTTTTTCTTTTTTTTTTTGTGAGATAAATTGAACCACTGAAAATTGGAGTCAGCTAACTGAATCTTTGTCATTGAAGAAATAAACAGAGAAATTGGATCTATTTCAAAGGAGTAGTCCAATAGTCATAGTCTAAATCAATTCCAGTTTGAATCAATTTCAATATTGACCTTTCGGGGGCAACAATTGGTCCAAGTCCCACTTCCAAGATAGCCACACCATGAACGCAGACTTCGCAGCCAAGTAAAAACATCCTAGAAAATGAGAAAGCGGAGATCCAGTGCCGGATCAGGGTCAAAACACCCAATTACGTAACAACGGAAACCACCTGATGACATCAGTCCACACCACGGTGACACGCGGCATCAATTTTTTAATGATTTTTAAAAATCAGAAATGCAAGGAAACGTTTCTACATTTTTTTTTCGGGGTGCTGATTCTGAGTCTGCCCTTGTTTTTTCTCCAATAAATCAGTTTTTCATAATATTATAAGAACAATAGAATAATAGGTTCTATCATACTATTCATACATTATCTGAACCACTTCATCCTCACAAGGGTCGTGGACGATGCGGCATCAATTTTTTCATGATTTTTAAAAATCAGAAATGCATGGAAACTTTTCTACATTTTCTTTTCGGGGTGCTGATTCTGAGTCTGCCCTTGTTTTTTCTCCAATAAATCAGTTTTTCATAATATTATAAGAACAATAGAATAATAGGTTCTATCATACTATTCATACATTATCTGAACCACTTCATCCTCACAAGGGTCGTGGACGAGCTGGAGTCTTTCCCAGCCATCTTCGGGCACTAGGCGGAACTGGTTGCCAGCCAATCACAGGACGAACAACCATCCGCACTCACAATCACACCTAGGGACAATTTAGAGTGTTCCATTACCCTGCCATGCATGTTTTTGGAATGTGGGAGGAAACTGGAGTACCCAGAGAAAACCCACGCAGGCACAGGGAGATAATATGTAAAGATGCCAATCAATCACAGGGTGCACACATAGACAAACAACCATTCACGCTCACAGTCACACCAAAGGAAAATTTACAGTGTTCCATTTACTTACCTGGCATGTTTTTGGAATGTGGGAGGAAACTGGAGTACCCGGAGAAAACCAACGCAGGCACGATGAGAAGATGTAAACTCCACACAGGAAGGCCGGAGCCGGAATCGAACCCTTCGCCTCTGCACTGCGAGGCGGACGTTCAAACCAGTCGATCACCATGCCACCCTATATCGAAATATATTTCATAATATTTATGAATTAAAGGTTGAGTTCAGCAAGTGGAATTTTTTTTTATCTCAAACATAACTAGGTCATGGTAAAACCTGTATTGCGTAAGCTTTTATAGGTCAAACTTTGAAAAAATGAAAATATCTCAAAAACCGGATGTTTAAAAAAAAAGTAGAGACTTTTTTTTTTTTTTAAATCAACATCAAAAAAAAAAATGGGGGACACATAACGGCATCTCTCATTAAAATTTGCTGTTTATTAGTGTTACCAATTGCAATTATAATCATGTGCCTTGGCGATAGAGTCCTTTGCAGCTCAAGATTTCCCCAGGAATGACTCTGCCTATCAGGAGTGTTTGTGGGTTACATATCCTTTCACCCCCCATTTTTATTATTTTTTTAAAATAACAATTCCATGGTGGGCGGTCTCGAATGCTCTCAAGGGTTGAATATTGTCTCACAGGCCGTAGGCTGCTCACTGCTCCTTTTAACCTTTTTCCACCGACTGCTATTGACATTCAGCAGTGATAACTTGCTCTCGACAATATACACATCAAACCACATTATATCACCACAGACCACCAGCACTTGCAAAAACAAATACAGCATTTATAAATAGGCTCTGTAAGGGATATCGCCACCCTAATTGAGTCTTTGTTTACAATGACTAATGGCGTGTCTGTAATGATACAGTACATGGCCGGAGCCACTTGGTTCAGGTGCTTTTTCACGCACTGTATATTTAAAGCCAGGCTCATTGCTGTGAAGTGTGAACAGACTAATATAAATGAAGCGTGAATGAAAAGGCACTTTGTGTGTTTCTCTGTCGTCCACTTGTGCCCGACTGACAGAGCGGTCAGACCTCCTTCACACTTGTGAGGAAATGTGCGCGCATGTGTGAAAACATGTTAAAGTCTGGACCAGTCAGACGAGTGCAGACATAGGAAGCCATGTTGCCTGGGAGGGAGTTAGGGGGACTGTGGATCATTTCAAAACCAACACTCTGCAACTGTCACGGGCCGACGTCGCGAGCTCGTTTCCCGGCGTCTTCTACTTTGCTAATTACAGCCTCCTGCTGCCTGGAGGTGGGGGGGTGACGAGGTGTCAGAATTCCCCAAAAAATAGTTGCTGGCTTCTCTCCAATCTCTGAAGAAAAAAAAAAATCAGACTGGGCAGTTAAAATTGACATGTCAGTACATAAAGGCTTTATAAAAGAAAAAAAAATGCTTTTGAATCGCAGTTTGAGGGGCAAAATTTTTCATTTTGCACTTCATCGAAACGCTTTGAATAGCTTAACTGAGAATCAACCACAGAGACAAACGGAGATGAAGTAGAAGAAGTAAAAGTTGTATAAGTGCAAGAAATAGAAGTACAAGTTGCAGTACAAGCAGAAGTAGAGTTTGTTTTGTCCTTCAAGTCAATCTGCTGTTACCTTGTGACCACAGACCAACGTGACCTGCAAAATGGAATATCCCAGAAAGTGTACAATTTGGCGATAGCTCGAAATTCCCGAGAACCAATTCACTTTTATTGAGTTTACTGAAAATGAAAACAAACAAACAAACAAATCACCAGATGTTTTTCAATGCATTTGGGCCAGCCAGAGCTCTATTAAATTGGTATATATAGAGTCGTTAGCATGCAGTCCATCTGCGATAAGATCGGGGGGGGGGGAGGGGGGGCGAAATAGAAAAACGCTGAAGTTACCCAACTACCGGTAGTCATGTGATATGTACAACAGGCTCATTCCTCAACAGCTCCACCCGTTCCTGTCTCGCCCAAACACACCTACAGACTATATACAGTATGTATGTGTTCATAGACATAAACACTGGTTAGGGGAATGGGGTTCAAATTGAGGTAATTATCCGAAAATAACAACCCGTACAGTTTGGGCAATGGACTGGTTTCAAGGCGTGACAAATGAATGATGGGGCTTAAAACTCACTTCATCATGACAGAAAATGTTTGGAAAAGGGTAACAGTACTTTCTGAAAAACAACAACAAAAAAAGTCATTACAATAGTCAACCAGGTGCAGAGGCACACAGCTTAACCAGATGGCATTTGTTTGTTTGTTTGTTTTTTTACAATATGCATTTCATATGTACCGTGATATAGAGCAGTGGTAATGTTGAAATTTGTAAATAATAATTGGATGATGAATACTAAGAGCACTAACGCCCAAATGTGCAAATTCAATCAAATCTGATGGGGTGCGCCGTTGTGGGAGGGGTCAGAGCAGATTTCAATTTGGCCACTTTCCAAACAAGATCACAAAAGGCCTGATGGTTATCCCGAGCGATTATCTTGAGGGATGATTTTTCCCACCCAATCTGCTCAGAAAATAGTCAAAAAAAGCTTACATCAAACCTGCTCAATATTTACCATTTGGATCATATTTTAGACATATTTTATAACACTGCTCAAGAAGTTTAAACTTTTTTTTTAATCACTGATGCAAGTAAGATATTGAAAATATTTTTTTTTAGCTGTGATTTTTTTTGTTTATTTTTTTCTAGCATATCAGATTTTCATAATAATATAATAAAAATAATCTAATGTGTGATAGCAATATATCGAATATTATTAATTAATGATTTATTCCTTAATGGCTAGGTTCAGGAACTGGTGGATTTTTTTAGGAAACACATCAATATATATCACAACACAAAATCCGTATTGCATACGTTTTAATCAAACAAATTAACATAGGAAAAAATTTAAATACAAAGAAAATGATGTGCTACAAAAGACAAAAAGACAAAATACATTTTTTAAAGCGCCGTGAAAAATACGGGTACATAAAAGCCATGTCTGATTGAAATTAGCAGTTGACCAGTGTAAATTTAAATCCAACCCAATGGGTGCATTGTAGTATAAAGACAGTTGGGTTTAAAACCATTTAAAAGTGAAAAAATGAGCCTTTGATCTTAAACTCATGTCATTGTTGGCAAAATATTATCCATCCATCCATTTTCTAAACAGCTTATCCTCGTAAGGGTCGCGGGGGTGCTGGAGCCTGTCTGCCAGCCGTGTTCGGACAGTAGGCGGGGGACACCCTGAAATGGTTGCGAGCCGAACGCAGGGCACACAGACGAACAACCATCCGTGCCCACAATCACACCAAGGGACAATTTGGGGTGTTCAATCAGCCTGCCATGCATGTTTTTGGAATGTGGGAGAAAACCGAATACCCGAAGATAACCCACGCAGGCATGGGGAGAACATGCAAACTCCACACAGGAAGGCCAGAGTCTACACCTCTGCACTGTGAGGCTGACGTGCGAACCGGTCGATAACCGTGCCGCCCAGCAAAATATTACTGCAGTGTAGTTTGGTTTGACAATTTTTTTTTCTCTGTGATAGGCTGCGTAGCAACCAGTCCAAGGTGTGGCCCACCTGTCCACCAAGGTCCAAAGGCAAAATAACAGATAGATGGAAGTTCTTTTTTGTCAAAAAAAACACCTCCGGTGTCATCCATATGCGCTTCTTGAAATTGCCACCTGTTCCGATCAAACTGCTCAGCGCTTCCAGTTCCAACCATATTTTAACTCGGTCAGACTACAAGACTCTTGCCGGGCGCATCGTTAGCATGTAATTGGGGTGAACTAACACTTTCATGCATAGTGGAAAGGAATTCTGCATAAAGGCATTATTGAGTTGCGAGTATCATACGGGGCATGGACATATGTGCTTTATTAAGACCGCCGCGTTCCCTGCAGCAAGATTTATTTTTAGCTACACCTGACTGGCTCGTGCCGCCCAAATGATCGGAAAACACTTTTCAAATTGCACCAGATTAGAAAGTGTCAACTCGGCAGCCCATGTTGAACACATGTACAGTACAGCAATGTCCCGAGTGTGTGTGTGTGTGTGTGTGTGTGTGTGTGTGTGTGTGTGTGTGTGCACTGGCAGCATTCTTCACACTCTCTCTTTATTGAGTGGCTGCTCGGTGGGATGACATTCCTGCAGCGGCCGACGTTGACTGCTGCTATGCGGAAAATGTGCAGGTGGCTCCAAAAAGACCCCCTTCTGAGGAGGAGAGTGAGGAAAATCACCCCCCCCCACCTCCTCCCCACCCGACTCCCGACTCCCCTCCACTCTCTTCCTGAATACGAAACAAATGTTTGGCATTCCACTGAGAAGGACTCTCTGCTGCAGAGTTGCCCAGTTAAGAGCTCGAGAAGGCGGGCAGAGTGCCAAGCCTGGTTCAGCATAAGCCTTTTAAGGAGACGACAGGCACTTGTATTGATTTTTAACATAGTCCCGCTATGATCTGTAATTGCCACAGACATAATTAGGTTGGAATGTCTCACTTTTTTAGCAGAGGTGGGGAATGGGAATCCATTTTCAAGTCATCCAATGGCCATAATGAACTGCAAACAAAATGTGAATTATTACACTGGTCAACGGAGAATTTGAATCAGAGATGCCTTTATGTGTCCCGAAACATATTTTTGATGCTGATTTCAAAAGCCTCTTTTTTTATGTTGCTAGCACATCAGGTTTTTGAGATATTTTCATTTTTTTGTTTGACCTATAAAAGCTTGCACAATATGGATTGTACCATGCCTTGTAATTTAGAGCTATGACGTTTCCGAAAAACATTCCACCTTTTGCTGAACCTAACCATTAACTCATAAATGTTACTAAATATATTACTACATCACATATTATATCATTGCTATAACATTAATATTATGATTATTATTATCCTGATGAGCTAGAGGGGAAAAAATGACAGCAGATCCACAATCATTATCATTGCAAAAAAACCCAACAAATCTAGAAAAGTTGACTTGCAGTCCGGATTCAAAAAAAAAAAAAAGCCAACATTTTTTGATCAGTGATATTTGATGTTACCTTCCTAAAATAATGGACGATGTCATTTTTTTCCAGTTTTTTTTTTGGTAAACACAAAACAATGGAACCAAATTGAATTTTATTTATTAATAATTTAAATCAGGTATGTCGGATGAGGGAGACATCGAGAACACGCTGGACATGGGGCTCTCGTGCACCTGACTTGGGCACCCCTGATTTATGCCATTCATTATTTTAACATGCCGACATCACTATATAACATTACTATACAACATTTCCGGGGCTTCTCGGCCAGGTACTGTCGGATGCTGAGGGCATTGTTAGCAGGCCGCTGTCTCGTGAAGCAGCCATGAGTTGATTTGCTACAACGGTCACCTCTTTTTACGAACCAAACAAAGCATACACCACGCATGATCTCTTTGGAGACGTGCCAGTTGAACGTTCAGCATATAAAGGGGAATTGCTCACATTTTGAAACACGAGTTTGAAATGTATAATTTGCTGACACACCTCTTGCGCTAAAGCAGTAAAGGGCCAAACCATTTGGGGCCATGACTAGACCAGACAACAAAGGGTCATTGAACCCGTCACTCGCACACTCACAAATTCACGTTTGGACCCCTATGGGTGACTTTGTGCACAGGCTCGACGAAAGCATATGACGCACTTGATTCGCAAATAATTATGCAGGGTGTATAATTAAATAGTCAGCATTTTTTGAGGGAAACAATCACGATTTTAGTGTTGGTTGATTGATTGTTGGTAGTTTTTCAATGTACTGCAGATATGCTAATTAATCTCACTTGCAGATTGGGAAATAACTGATTTAAAGATTTGGGGGTATAAAATCGTTAATGTGTAATTTAGACTGAGTAATAAAGTCAAGTACATTGCTGTGATGAGAAATGGCAGAGTGGAGTGGAGGCAATTCATCAGTGGAGTTCCGCGGGGGGAGTGACTACAGTTGCAGGGTCTATATATTGGGATGTTTTGTGCGGTGGGATTACGCGAATGAGAGCACAGAACGAGTCACCGCGGCAGGATTACTCTCCCCGGCCACACACGCAACCATGGATCCGTGCTTCCGCGCCCTTTGCGTGACTTTCGTGCTGGCGTCTTTTGGCCGCGGGTCAGGTGCGCTGGGCCCGGTGATCAAGTGCGAGCCGTGCGACGATGGCGCGCGCCTGTCCTGCAAACCTCTGCCCAAGGACTGCGCCGAGAGGGTCCGAGAGCCGGGCTGCGGCTGCTGCCTGACGTGCGCGCTCAGCTTCGGCCAGCCGTGCGGCGTGTACACGGGCAGATGCGGCGCCGGGCTCGCCTGCCAGCACCAACCAGGCGAGACCAGACCGCTGCAGGCGCTTCTGGAGGGACGAGGGGTCTGCGCCAACGCCACGAGCACTCGACGTCTCGTGGAGAGACCGACGCCTCCTGTCAATGAGCTGCCAGGTATGCGTGCACCTTGATTATACTCACGCTCGCTTTAACAGCGTGCATGGGTGCACACTGGCGTGCATTGAGGAGTTTGGAACGGCGCGCAAAATGAGCACAGGGTTGTCTTTATGGCTCATACTGGACCTTTATAGGCATCTAATTAGTGTTGGGGGAGAGGGACAGGAGGGTCTTCAATGGGAGCTGCAAAAAGTAAAGAGTAAGTTCAACTCAGCATGGGCGCAGAGTGAATGTCAGATTTGCAAATTCGCAGAGAATATATCCTCTGCTATTTGCTGAAAAGTTTCCCTTCTTGCCGTTTTTGTTTGGTTGTTTTTGTTTTTTTTTTTAAATCCCAAAGCAATGATGGTATTCCTTTGGCACCATCTTATGGCAACCTGGTGCCAAGGAACGATGTAGACGTGAGTTGAACTGCTTCATTTGGGCAAAAGTAATGCTGTAGCGTTATCGTTTGGCATCTTGATGCCAAGGAACTACGTTGAAGTGAGTCAGGGAGTTTCATTTAGAGGATCCTTTTTGAAATTAGTTTATTATTATCTACGATTGGCAGAACAGCCCGCTTATCAGTCCGCTGGAATCACCTCAGGGTCACCCGTGACCCTAATGATGAAAAGCACGACAAAAAAATGGATGAATGGATGGATTTTTTTTTTTTATGATCATACATTATGAGGTAAAGTTGAGGTAACTTGTCAATCGTATGAATAAGAGTGTTAATGCTGATTTGTCTCTACGTGCACTCTGATCAACTGGCGACCAGTCCAGTGTGCAGCCCAAGTTAGCTGGGATGGGCTCCTGCTCATCCGTGATCCGAATGAGAAAACGCGCGATAGAAAATGGATGGATGATGGACAATTCAGTAGGAGACTACTTTTATTCTGTCATACATTTATCATATGGTCCTCGCTGGACTCTTAAAGGTGCAATGTCTTGTCACTGCAGGTGGTACACGCAAAGCTAAGGCTGTTGTTTAATTGGTTCACTTACACCCGTGACACTTCACAGCACCCTACCTGAACCACGGTATCTAAAAATAAATCCAGTCGAGTAAGTTGGTGTATTTGGATTCTGTGGGGGGGTAGAAATGAAATTTCATCACAGTCTGGCTAGTCACCGGGGCAGTATCCTCTAATGCGTGTATAACTTCCCTGACACTTGACTGCACTGTAAATTGGGGTCATAGCTTTTTCATTCCTGGAAGATACGACTGTGTTTATAAATAAGCACAATATAGGGTATATTAGTGTATTGTACGACTTTGTGGGTGGAGAGGTTAGGGGTGGAGGTAGCAATTTATTCACTGTATGGCTTGTGGCACCTTTAAATGAACTACAGTTACACCCTTGACTGCACCATTTTGGTCCTTGATAAGGCACTGGGGTGTCCAAAACTAAGCCCGGTGGGGTGCATTGGTGTATTTTTTTTTTAATGGATTGTTGGAAATGAAATGACAATATGACATATCACAAGAGTGATAACCTCAAGTGGTAGTTTGAGACTGATAAATGGACTGTTATCACAATATGGCTTGTCATTGGGATGGTAAACTCAAATGCATTACCCTAATCCCCTTGACAATTACAGTTTGGGCTCATACCTGTATAGGTAAAAGGGTGTCTAAGTCATAAGCCGAATTGGGTGCAATGGTACAGTTTTAACCTTAAATTCAACATTATATACATTTGGATTGCCTTGAGGGCGGCGCTTCAATGAAAAAGACTTACACCTTTAATACCCTGACTGGAATCAGTACCTTGGGGTCCAATCATAAGCAATAATGAGTTCTTTGGGGATTAGATAAGAAATCTTATCACAGCGTAGCTTCTTAATGGGGTGGAACCCCCTAAATGCATCATCTTTATACCCTTGACACTTGTTTTATAACTCGCAAAAAAGGTTCGACTTCAGCATGGAGTCCAACAATAAGCCCCGAGGGCATTCCTTTCGATTGTAACTTTAAGGATTGATTGTACCTTCTAGTATGTTGGAATCACTTTCATACCGCGAAAAACAACCACACCCAGCAGTATTTGAATGTGTGTGCTTGGGTCTGCAACCAAAACACGGCACAGCGAACAACCACGTGCTCTTTCAAAACACTGGCAGAGACCATCGAGACTCCGGACGAGGAGCACAACTCTACCAGTGGCGTCTTCCAGAACACGCACAGTGCACATAGCAGACCCACGGGACCCGTGAGACCTGCGCTTAACCCCTTCCCGCCCTCTGCCAAGGCTGAAATCCTACGACGGGAGCAGCAGAAGAGAATTAAAAGCTTTAAAATGGAGGACGTGCCTGGACCACTCCTGACAGACCAACAGAACTTCTCCCTGGAGATCAAACCGGAGCCTGAGTATGTAAGTACCACAACCAATAGCTTCCTTCCTCTGGAGCACGGAATTGGAATGTTTTTCTGTTCTCGATCTCTCTTTCTGTGTTTTGGTGTTTTTCTCCTCCTGCGGGTGATGAAATGTTTTTTTGGGGGGGAAGCGTGCTGAAGGTTGGCAGGCGCCGCGACCAACAGAATGGCATGGGCAGCGAGCAGGGACCGTGGCCCTGCGGCTGACCTGGGTCAGGCGGTTGTTTGACCACAAGGCGTCCGCGTGCCGGCTGCACGGAGTGCCAGCGGATGATGGATTGGCCGGCTTGAGTGCCTGTTGGGAAGCCCAGCTACTATTTCCATCTCCTCTTTTGGCCAAAGACGTGAATGCACACGAGAACTGGGCTTTGGCTGCATGGTCGCTTTAATTAGCGACCAGAGTACTTGGAGCTTAGGACAGGCCTTTTTGGCTCTGCTTTCATGCTTCCCCCTTCCCACATCCATCCATCAATTTCCTATAGCGCTTATGCTATGTCAGGGAGCCTATTCCAACGGATTTAGGGCAAGAAGCAGGGTACACCTTGGTCGGGTTGCAAGTCAACATTACCGGAAATTGAAGTATGGAATTTGTCTGTCTGAAAATGGATTTTTTTTTCCCACATTTATCATGTTGGGTCGGATTAAAAACAAACGCTGGTGTTTGAGCAAGTTTGATCGCCATCGTCCGGATCCTTGCGTACGTCAAACAAGACGACGGAGAACAGTTGAAGAAGTGCTCACAGGTCAGATCAGCTAAAGTGTGAGCTGCACACAACCCAAAGACCAAAACTCGGGTCAAATGACAGCAAAAACGATAGCGGAAACGTACGAATGTACAAGAATAAAAATCCGAAAATGAGCTGGAAGACAGCATTTTTTTTGTTGGCGATGTCTGCATTTTGTCAGATAATTATTTCAGGATGTGACTTCATTTAAATGTTTTTACTTTGTTTTTTTATAATTTGATTCAGATCAAAGGACCAGGGTGGAAACATAACTTCGGCCATTCCCAAAATCAACTTCACATGCCCGTGCTAAAACACCCGCATAATGCAACTCTGAGACAATTGACTGCATTGATAAGAGATAAGTGAATTGGACCCAGATTACAGTCAAACCTCGGTTTTCGAACGTCTCTGTTCTCAACCAAAACTTTCGAGTTTTTTATGCCTCGTATTACGACCGAAAATCGTTTCTCAACCAAACTGAGCACACTTGAATGTGCCACTTGACTCTTCTCGCCTTCCTTACACGAGGAAGTGACGCTTCGTCGTGTAGCGTTCCATTGTGAGCAGACATGTTCAATAAAGATTTTTTTTTTTAAAGAGCGTGGTTTCGGTTTTCGACAAATCAGTTTTCGTACAGCCTTCTGGAACGGATTATGGTCGAAAATCGAAGTATGACTGTCTCTTTGGTTGTTTTGCGTTCTCCCCACAAGTTCTGACTTGGAAGTCAGCTCCAAGAAGCTGGAAAATCAGGAAGAACTTGAGAAAATTCGCTGTCGCTACACCCGAAAAGCAAACTTGATCCTGTACTGACCACCAGTTCATCACAAGAAAAGGACAAAAGGCACCAAGTGGGAATCAATCTGTCTCCCGTGTCAGCCTCTGACGTGAACCACTACACCACCAATGGCTCCATTTTTATAACACGACAAAACGGAAAACGTACATACCGGTTAGTGAAGACATGGAATGCAAAATGGCGCCACCTGTGCTAGCTGAGGTTTATGGTAGCAGACATTCATCCGTCCATCCATTTTCTGTACTGCTTAAGTCCTTATGGGTTTGGTGGGGAGCTGAAGCCTTCCTAGCCGACTTTGGGTGAAAAGCAGACTGCAGTCTAGACAGGCTACCAGTCACACCTTCGGGCAAATTTAATGTCTTTAATGTCTTCGTTGAGCCATGACTTTACAGGAACAGACAACTGCTGACACATAACAATTTGATGACAAACTTACCGGAACCGCTGATGGTGTTCTCTTGTGTGCAGGGTCCCTGTCGGCGAGAGCTCGAGAGCATCCTCGGCAGCCTCAAGATTACAGACACACTCAACCCTCGAGGTTTCCGCATACCAAACTGCGACAAGAAGGGCTTTTATAAGAAAAAGCAGGTAGGAAACAGAAGTACAATCGGTGGATCAACAAGCGGTGTTAAGGGTCGTGTGTCACGAAAACAAACGTTCACACTGCCTTTCAAAGCCGAAATTTTTCACCACGTCTCTGTTCTGCATACGAGATGATGGAGTCAAACCCAATTTTCTGATGTCGTATGCTGGGATAGGGGTGTAAAACTTCAATACCTGATTCTCACCATCATTGGCAGCGGAACATGCTGCTACCTTTCATGCAAGTGGTGCGGGTTCAAATCCTGAGCAGTGGTCCAATATCCAGCAACTGGCTGGTCCCAAGGCCAGATCGAAAAGGGCTCGGTTGCGACAAGAAAGGCGTGCGACGTAAACACTGCGGCAAAAGAAACAGTGACTCTCTGTGGCAACAACACTCTAAGACTGCTTTTAGCTTTCAAAATAGTTCCGTTCAAAACATGAACTTTCCCAAAGAGCTTTCTTATTTCAAAAGAGCGAGCCCAAGTGTCTTACTTGTTTTTTTGCAGGCTGCATTAATGGAGATTCAAAGCCCAAATGCAGTGACTCAAACTGTGGGCCTCCTGCAGCCCAATTATAGATGTGAATCTGTCCTCCTGTATTCATCGGTAGTTATTAGAGCCTCATCATTGCACCGCCACACCAGTGAGGTAGACCCCGAGCCACTGGCACTGGAGACTGCGACCGCAGTGCCCAAACCCCAGTGGCGTTGCCTGACTGGGACGACGCTCGGGAATCTTCCCAGCGAGACAGACGTCAAGGTGGCCGCCGGCACCCGACGTCCTCGCCCCATAATTGCTGGACTTTTGAGAAGCGCTCCCAGAAATAGAGTGGCGGCCGTGCCCTCGCTCAGCGGCTCAGCCCACAATGGGGTTGTAATAAATGCGTTCATATGGAGGCACTTAGGGCGCCTCTGCGTCGCTTTTCTTATTACGCAGCCCGGCCTCCTTGCTTAATGGACGTGCTCTCCTGCAATCATCTCATAAGCAGCCAGGCTCATTGTCTTTGTTTATGTAGAGTGGATGCAGCGCAGTGTGCAGCGTGCACGCAGGCCTCCGGTGCTTCCATTCATGTGGTCCGGTCTAATTTGGACATGGACATCATCTGCAGCCAACCCATCCCTTAATAGCAATAAACGTCTCCTTGGAGACGTTTTCTAACGCGTTGCTATTCTTCGCAGAAGCGTGTTGCGATGAGGACGCACAACTTCCATCCCAATCTGCGCGTTTTACTAGAGCAGGGGTTGACCTTTCGTAAAATTGGCAATAAAATAACAGCCCTCGGGTAGCTCCACGCAGACTCTGTAAGTCATTTGTAGTACCCATAATTTGGAGCTGTGGGGTATAATCAGCAACAGATGATTCGTGCTGCCACCGGCTCCTGAAAATAGATCTGGGTTCTCAGTTGTTCACGAAAGTCCCTAAGCAAATATTTGAGCAGGTTTCTGTTTACCTTCAAGGCCTCTATATGTGTGCGTAACAGGAGGTGGACCATAAAAGTTGCTGAAAATACCACAGCGCGCCGCGCGGCCAAGGCTGCGTTCACTCAAGCACAATCTGCCCATTAATGCCTCTTAACTATTGCCGTTCTCCTCCATCGACTAAAGTGGCCCGTTAGCCATAATGCCGCACATTCAACGAGTGTTTTTTTTTTTTTTTTTTTAACATTTAGCTTCACCTTCTCCCTCCTCTTCACTTGCAGTGCCGTCCATCCAAGGGCAGAAAGCGAGGCTTCTGTTGGTGTGTGGACAAATACGGGCAGCCCTTGCCAGGTTTCGATGGGAAGGAGCGAGGAGTCGCCCGACACGTCAGCTCGCAAGGCCAATAGGAGCCCAAGTGGGACTTGAGGGAGGGGGAGGGCTAAAGATCTGTAAACAAGCAGAGACACTGAGGATATTGGGAGAGAGGCGATATGTGGATGTTTGCTCTCTCTATCTGCGGGACCTTTTTGTACAAGGAACCAGATGGATTCTTCACAAAAGTTTCTGACAATGAAGACTCGGGCGATTCATGTCCAAAGCCGATGGAACGCACAGATGTGCTGCCATAATAATTATGATTATTATGAACTTGCACGCCGGTCACGCTTTTTTTTTTTTTTTTTGGGTGGGGGGGAAATCATCAGTTTTGGTGGGGGGGGGGGGTTGAAATCATCAGTTTGATGCCAGCATAAAAGTTTCTGAATTAAGCATTGTCCTTCTGTCAAGGATCTTCCTCCAATTGAGTCTCCTATGGCCGAATTCCCAAGTCAGAGTTGGGCCAAGTATGAGTTCTGGAATTTTGAGCAAAATGGCCTCTTCATAGCAAAATGGCCGACTTGCTATTCATTTTTATGCATCGGTCTTCGAGGCTTTTTTGCATTCATTGCACTTTGTATTGATCGTTGAAAGTGGCACTTCAAACTTTCTGAGGGGTGCTAGTGCCTTTGGTGGTGGGGGCGGTTTTAGGGGGGCTGGCGTTCATATAGAGGGCTCCGTCCTTTTAGCAATTACCCACAATGCACTACCGGCGGCCATATTGGAGGGCTGTTATAAACAAGCCATACACGAATAGACTTCGTGTATGGCATTGTGGGTAATTGTGGGTAATTGCTGAAAGGACAAGCCCTCTATTCAGGCCTTCTAAAATACCACCATTTTGACCAGGATTCAAACATGTTAAGCTCCCCCAAATAGTCAATTTAATAACATCAAACATCAATTCTAGGAGGGCCTTCGCACTGCCTAGTGCTTCGACCCAACTAATTACAAACATGCTTTTACATTCACGCGTTAACCAGCGAGTCAGTCTGTTCAATGCATACCACATCACAGCATTTAGCACAGCAATACGCACAACGGTTTCTTATGAACTGCTAATATTTAAATCAATATAAGTTAGAAAGAAAAAGAGACTGCAACTCCTTCGTTCTGGTAGCCATTGTTTTGGTCAGGTTGTCGGATCGTTCTCTGTATGGGTATACTGGCTGGTCCTGGTATCAGTCTGGAAAAAAAAAAGTGCTATCGAACATCCCTATTCTCTCTTTTAATCATCGCTGAACAAGCGTGCCATTTCTTTCTTGCAAAATAGTGCTTGCCTCACGTTTGTATTGATCATTGGCTTGTGTACAGTGTATGTTGTGATGGCTTAACAGGACATATTTTTGTAAGCGTGTTGAAAGTGTGGCAAACCCTGCTTGAGGTAAATATGTCGTTTGCATGTACAGTACAAGGGCAAACCCTCAAAGGTCTATTTTTACCTAATAAAGGCACAATGAAACTACTGTATGTGTGTCTTTTGTGTGTTCTGTTCATTTCTTGGGTTTTCTTGTGAACACAATCGGGTATGTAATGCGGATTTGACAGTGCATTGTCATTTATAGCTATGCCTTTTTAGATAAAAAGTCTACCTGTTGCTGAATCTCACCCTTAACTCATAAACATGAATATATAACTACAGTAGATGACATATTACAAAAACCCGATGGGCTAGAGAAGAAAGCAGATTTGGAATCAGCCCAAAAAAGCGGACTTGCATCTCTGATTAAAATAAATAAATGGAAAACTTGACTAGTCTTACATTTACATTACAATGTCTCATTTTTTTCCAGAATCACGATACATATACACTGACAAGTTTTAGCTCCGACCCGCAGGCCCTCTTCCAATCAAAGTCCACCAAGGCCTGATTATTTGAAAGATTATTCTTATTGATTGTACTGTGGTGTGAGCTGTGTTAGCAGTGATTTTTCCCTCATGATTGTCAATGGAGATTATTACGGTCTTCTTGAGTATACCACGTGCACGCACACACACACACACACGCACGCACGCACGGAGAGCAGTAAGAAAACAATTCTTTTTTTTTTTTTCTCTCATCGTGTGTGGAGTCTCACATTTTCGAAGTCCCGCTGAGTTTTGTCCATGCTGCACTCCTAAAACTATACATGTGGCAAAAGTGTGACATGTGAGTGGAGGTCAATAAAATACTTGCTGCTTTCTAACATTTGCGTTTTCCGATTCTATTAGAAGTACGTGGTTGAGACAGGATGGCAAAAATCAAGTGAACAAGACTTTGGAACAGAATATATTTGGCATATACACATAAATAACAGAAAATACAGTAACTGCTGTACATCAGTCCTCGATTACAAAATAAACTTTGGAATATTGCATAAATATAAGAATAAATGTCAGATTTTATATTATATATAAAGCAGTGACGCTTTGGATAAAGGGAGGGGAGGAGGTGGGTAACTGCAGAGGTAGACAAATGTAGAAGCTTGGATGAGCCCTGATATGTTTGTGCTTGACCAGCATACACATACTTGCGGCACATTAAGTATCCCCCATTGAGAAAATGAAGATGCATGCAGACAATGTCAACATGTTGCATGAATGAGCGGCTGTGTCGATGTGAATGAATTGAAGAAAAAAAAAAAAAAGAAGGCCCTAAAATGGGGCTTGGCAGTGGTTGCAGGGCTGTGGTTTTTGAGGAATGGAGTTATTCAGTCAGAAACAAATGTATACAGTGTTGCCCTATTTACAATTGACGATAAAAAAAAATAAAATAAAAAAAAGACGGGAACACTTTTTGAAAAATGACTTGTGATGAATAAATAAAATAATTTACAATTCGGCTTCGTGAATGGGACGAAGGTGTCCCTGTGTGTGTGTATGTGTGTGTGTGTGTGTATGTGTGTATAATTTCCTGCTTCAGTGAGTGACTTCCTGGTGGCACTCTGAGTCGCCGGGGATGTTGCCGGCTCCGGGGAGAATCTTGCCGTTCCAGGCCGAGACGCACCAGCAGCGAGCGGGAGGTCCCACCAGAGATGACTCACACTTGAGGAAAGACCAAAATGAGAAAGTCAAGGGGTGTGACAAGCAAATTTGGTGGGCGAGCTACACTTTGTGCTCCTCACCTGCTTGGCTTTGTAGAAGCCATGCTTGTCGCAGTTGGGGAGGTAGAAGGTGGTGAACTTCTCGCCGAGGTTCTGTTGAGAGCTGGCGATGGCGTCCAGGGCGGCATCTAGCTTAATGTGACAAGGACCCTGAGCGGGAAAACAAGTAACCATCAACTGCTAATTCTTTTGGCCACACACAATGCTGTTGAGTATCTAATGAACGCTTCTTTGATTTTATTCTGAATATGCTCACAATAGCTTTAAACGCAGGTGAGGGAACGTTTCCATTTCAGGTTTTCGCACATTGAATTGTGCTTGATTATTTAGCATTTTAAAAAATTTTGAATTGAATTTCCTATTGAGGAATTTAAAAGAGTACAATTAATTTTTTTTTTTAAATACAAATATAGATCACTAAATTGAAATTTCTCTGAAGGTAATACAAATGGTAAAATAAATACAATTTGTTTTGCTTATTTTAATAATTTTCCAGTGATAGATACTTTTTTTTTATCATTGTAATCGCTACATTGTCATTGTTTTGATGTATTATACATTCACATCTTAATGACTACATTAAATTGTATTGAAGGATTGAAATAAATTGTCCCTTGTGGAATTAAAATAAATGTAATCACTTCATTGCATTTTCCCAATTCAAATGTATGTGTATATATATATATATATATTTTCACACATACAAATTGTTTGAGTACTATATGATCGAACAAAAATGTCATTCTATTTTTAAGCCTGAATTTAACTCTCTAATGAGGGACAAAAATGGGTAAATATTTTTAATATTTGAGGCATTAAAATGAGTAACATTTCATTTTCATGACATTTCCCACTCACCTGCTGTACCAGTTTGTTTCGGATGGCATTCACTTTGGCCTTGATGCTTTCCTGAGCGTCTGCAGCGTCTTGATTGGGAAAGCCCAGCATGTACTGGAGGGAGCTGTGATCCGCTTCCCCGTCAGCATTTTCTGAACATGAACACGTCAGATTAGCATTTTCATCTTTGAGAGTGAAACGCGAGAGATGGGGCGCTGACACTACCTTGGTCTTCAACGCAGATGCCGTGCCCCCGCGTGAGGGCATGGAGAGGCCTGGCCTCACCGGGCCTGGGCAGGCAGCGTAGACCGCTGGCGCAGTGGGCCGTGTGGACCCCGCAGGCGCTCCCTCTTTCCAGGGCGCAGGCCATGCAGCATCCGCAGCCGGGCTCCCTCAGCACCTGCCCGCAGCCGGTCGGGACAGCGGGACATTCGCTCAGCTTCTCCTGAGTGCAAGGGGCGCAACGAATTGGCTCGGGGCCCACCATCGGGGATGACCTCACCGCAGCCGCCGCCGCCGCCAAAACCACGGCCGTCACCAGCATCTTCTTCTCGCGTAATCCACACATGTCGACTCTTTGCACTTTTCTTGTCACTGCCTGCCAGCGCGGCCGTATTTAAGCATCGCCTCTCGCGAGTGTTAATGATTGACACGCCGCCTACAGCTATAACATATTTGTGTCAAAGCCGTGATAAACAGTAAGTTGACCCCGCTTGACGTGCGTGGTTGAAGGTTCACAGGGTCTGCGGTCAATATTGACTTTGGGACACTGTGATTGGACATCAAAACAAGCTGGGATGGTGCGGCCGGAGGGGTGTGGGGGGTGGGAGGTAGGTATTTTACTCATCAGTGAGTGAAGAGGTTAGGAAAACACATGCGGCTTTAAGATGCTTCAATGAGGGACGGAAAAACATGTTTGGTTTTGTGTGCGCTGTTTTGACAGCGCAAAAGCCATTTTGTTCCTCTTTGGTGAAGGTTCATCTTATCAGGAAAGGGAGATAAGGCCATGAGACACCCACACACCCACACAGGAAAACACACACTCATGCAGGCATCCCCTTTTCTTGCATAATCCTGCTAGAGTCACAACATGTTTATGTGAAGAGAACTGACGGTAATTGGTCATTTTCTTCCGTGTAGTATTGGTAGAAAGTGACAAAATATACAGCTGCCTTGGCTTCACTTTTGATGTGCTTTACAATCGTCTCTCCAAAGGCATCATCATACCCCCGCCTTGCCAATTTAAAAAAAAAAAAAACTTCCAGTATTTACTTGGTCGAAGTTGAATCACTGAGCTTCCTTCCAATTGGGCGAGCCAAGTTTTGGGCACTGAAAGTGGTGACACAGGGCCCACTGACCCAATGAATGATGGCTGTCTGCAAAACATCAAGATAACCTCTTCCCAATTGCGAGGTCTTAAGTTAAATATACAGCGGTTGACACATTCATTAAAATAGTCTTTCCCAAAGCAACATTTTTTTTTTTAACACATTAGGAAAGCAAAGCACACAAACCAAAGAAAAATGTTACAAAAAGTACTGAAATGATTTTCTCATCTCAATTGACTCATTTATTCACTTTGTGTTGAGTTATGCTGCACCATAGGCGTGTCTAGCCCATTTTGGGGGGTTCTGAAGCACCCCTAAAGAGAATTATCACGCTTCCAAAATGTGTGTGTCTCGATTTTTTTTTCTGCCGTTTTTAACAACTTAGAAAGTTGCAAAAAACACACAGTTTGACACATATTTTAATAACAAAAATTTGCTTTAAAATGATTCGATCCATCTCACCACTACAAATGCCAGATTAAGGTAAGAGTAGATTTATTCGATTAAATGTTCCATCCTTTATGTACGTTGGATCAGTGTATCAGTTTATATGTCTTATCGGATAAAACAGTGCTTGTTATCTGCCTATTGGTTGATGGTACAGAGAGTGAGCCAAAGAGCAGGGAGTGGACTCTATTAGTGTTCAATTTATTTGATCACTGATTTTAACATTCAATTGCACACCGACAGTGAACAAATAGAGGTCATTCGAGACAGGACATCATTACTATTAACAACATAAGTGACTATTTTCTGAATTTCACAAAATGAGGACGTGAAGAACAGGGAGTCTGCCTTTCAACAAAAGTTGTGATCACTGTGGGGGGGCTGCTTAACTCCAGAAACATGCATATCATGTATGCTGAGGAGCTGCTACATTAAAAGATGTCCTCCCCCAGACAGATTTTAACACAACCAAGATATGCTCCCATTATTTTCCCATTATAGTCCTTTTCTCCTGCACTGAAAAAAAAAAATGGTTTACTCAGTTTTATTTTGTCAAGTGGTTGCACGAAATACAATCCTTGGTACATTTTTAAGTGGACAAAATTAAAAAATATATATCTAAATTCAGATGATTATTGTGTGCAGACAATTAAAATGAATAAAATAAAAAGTAAATTGAACACATTTATAAAGCATGTGCTGTGACTCATGTTTTACAGAACCTTGATAAGATTTGGTTCACTCGCAGGCTTCCTTGTAGAATTCTCTTCAACATTTTTTTTTTGTTTGTTTTTTGAAGTGGTGAGTGCTCGCAGATAAATTTACTTCCATCTTTATTAAAAAAAAAAAAAGACCGGTGTAATCAGGCTGAATTTAAACTTCCACCCCAATTCAGATAAAGCCCTGATTATCGGCTGGCTCTTCAAGATTATTTTGAGTGATTATCTTGCGGGGTGTGATTCCCCGCCAACCCAGTCTACTCTGAAAACAGTTAATCAGATAATCTCCAATCTTAAACCTGTTCAATATTCATGACTGCAAATCAGGAAGAACATTGTCACTTCGTAAAAACCAGTTAACATGTGTACTATTGGCGCATGTGAAGCGCTTTCGAAGTTGCGCTGTATTATTTGACACCAGTGTGTAGATAAACCAACACTGAGAGGTGACCTGTTTAACATAGTCAATATTCATCCAAAAGTTTAATGAGGGGAAAAAATAAACAAAACACACTTGCACATGGTTGGCGTTCACTCAATAACCAGCTGATGCGATTTCGCTTCCTCTATGTTGATCATCAAGTTCACCAGCCACTGGGGAAGCTCCTCGTTCTGTAAAAAGGTATTGAAGACAATATTACCACCCCAAAAAAAAAAAACTCCTAGCTATGAGTGATCAACCATTGATAAATTTTCCATGTTCCAATTATGTGAAAGAAAAAAAAAATGCAATTATGAATTGAACCATTGCCATTAAAGATAACGTGATGGCACCAGTTTGAGCCTTCAACAAATTAATGAGCGAGTAGTTGGACTTTCAATTTCAGTGGTTAACTTGTTTTTACATCATATGTAGTTGAAAATTTTTTTAGAAGTGTTACCTATACCAGTGATGGGCATCTTTAATGCTAGAGGGGGCAACAATTTTAACATCGGTGTGACTCTGTGGCCACACAGTTCCTTATCACATGGATGACAGAAATTATATACATGGACCAAAAAAAAAAAAAAAAAAGCTGTTTTCTTAGTACACTCAAACCTCAGTTTTCGACCAGAAAATTCGAGATTTTTACGCCTCAGATTACGACCGAAAACCGGTTTTCGACCAAACCCGAACACGCCATTTGACTCCTCTCGGCTTCCTTATACGAGGAAGTGATGCTTCCTCATGTAGCGTTCATTGTAAGCAGACATGATTGTTGTGATTTACGCAAAACTGACTGGTTTTATGTTATTTCTGCATGGTGTATTAGCCCCTAATCATGGGCTAATAAAATAGATTCGGATTTCGAACAAATGGCTTTTCGAACAGCCTCCTGGAACGGATTATGGTCGAAAACCGAGTTTGACTGTATCTTTCATTTCTAATCTTACGTTTTCAATGTATACATAAAAAATCTAGAATCCTAACCCAACAACAAAGGGGTTGAAGCAAACAACAATAATAACCACAAACAAAATTCACAACAAAAATCAAGCAGAAATTGCTGGTCACAAGGAGCCCAGATAAACAACAAGCGCTTGAAAAAGGCAAGGTAATGGTAAAGCCGAGAATACAAACAAATTGACAAGAGTCCAGTTACATGAAAACAAAATAATGTCAATACTTACTAATGAGGGATTAGAGAGCAAAAACGACGATGACCTCGAGAGGTCTCGAAAACAACACGAGTATGAGCAGCAAACAAGCTCAATAATCCAACAGACTCAGCTAGCAGGCTGTCCTAAAATACATGGCTGACTGATGAAACATTGGCAGCAGGTGAGCAAGATGGAGGGAAGGCCTTCCTCTGCCACCTGCTGGAGACGCAAGAACAGAATCATGACATTTGATTTCGGTACCGTTTGCCCTGCATCTCATTCTGAAACCCCCCAAAAATATTTGGCTTACTCACGTAGCAGTATAGGGCAGTGTAAGACATGTCTGCCATCTTGTGGAGATTGGTGATATTACAACTTAGAAACTGCCGTTGACCGCTGCATAACCAGTTTGACACCTGTAGGTTTACATATACTGATTTATTTTCCCCCTCAATATTTTTCCTCATTTTGGATTGTATCTGATCTTTCTGGGATTCTCCCCAATTCCTCCCTTTTTTTTCATGAAAATCACATTTAATGATTATGAGCATTTAAAAAAAAAATATCCAGGGGCCACTCTGTGGTCGGGGGCCACAGTGGCAACAGTTAAAGAGTCTAGAACAAATCAACAGCAGAGTTTTACTTACTTTTAAAGTTGACTTATTTTTTTGCACTTGCATGAGAGTTAAGTTAAAATGGAATGAAAAAAATGCTAGTCCAGTTAAAAAAGGTTTGGCAATTTGTGCCTAAAAGAAAGGCCCGGGTGAGTAATTTTACTGTTGTTCAGTTACAGTTGTTCCGTTTTGATGTACACTCGCATGACAGGAATGTTATATGAACCATTTCATGTACAGTTAAATATTCTATCATGCAACGGTTTGAGACCTACATGAACGGATTATTCGTTTTAATATTAGTTTTGAGTTTAACGTACATTTTACCATTGTATGGCAGTTGGAAAGGTAAACCTGTTATTGACTCGACGTACATCAGTTCCAGTGTTGAAAAAAAGATTAAAACGTGATTTTTTTTTTTTTACCGTGTATTGCATTGAGGATAGGCTGCTGTTTTTGCTCCTCCTCCTTTTCTTCACCAACGATGTTTTGCGCTTCTTCCTCTTTACTGGCCTTGGGAATCGTTCCCATGAGTGAAGACTAGCATTTAGCCTCGTTGTGCTCCCCTCGCCCAACGGTGAATCCAGTTTCGATGATTCCGGATTTTGGTTTGACATCTGATGCGGCGAAGGCTCTTCACTGAAGGAGCGAGACGTCCGCTTTGGCCTGAGAACCTTCAATCGGACGTCGTCATCCTCGTCACTTGTAAACGCGTCGTGTTCTTCACGCTCTTGGTGTTCGAGTGTGGGGCTCGTCTCGGGTGCATCCTCCAACTCGGACTCCTCCGGGATGACATCCAGTATTTGAGACTGTTTGGAGTGATTGTGAATTATTTGACAAGTAATGTCACAGTTGGGGAATAACTGACAGTTGTTCAGCACCAAGCCTCCCTTATTATTTACATTCGTACAAATCAG